GCCTTACAGCAGACCTATACAATGACACCCTATGGCTCCATGTATTGAGAGACATCCCTAGTCTAAGTACCGGTAGGAAAAGTCAATGCATCCCTCACGTTCACCCTACTAAAGCATTGCCCTCTGTTAAAAGCTGTTACCGTAAATCAGAATAAAATCAAGGCTCACCAAGAAACTGAATATCTTAAATTCACGTTTGTGGCATTTGTCATTATTTAAGGTTAAACCTAATTGTAGTCCTGCAGGATTCACACCCTGTCCATTGCTCAAACCAGTGGATTATAGGCTTTATAACATATTTTATTTTTCTGGAAAAGAGGCTTTTCAGCATTGTCTCAATTTACAGCCGCCCAGGGATGTAATACGGGTATTTCCAGAAGCAATTGAAGGTGGTGTGTGTATGCATATATTTCTCTGTTGAGTGGGGACTTTTTTTCCCTCACAGTCACGTTGTCGATGCATTTCCATACCGCCCCAGGCTTCTAATGTCCACTGAAGTCTCTCTGGCATATGGACTATCGAACGGGAGTGTTGTTTTTAAATTGGCTGCATTAAAGTTACTAAGAACATATGGATCCATAGAGGAACGTCATGTCAAATGCTTGGTATTTTATAAGTTAAAACAATTAACGCATTTTAATCGCACTTATTTTTGCACCGCGGAACGTTTCTCACTGGATGAGTTTCAGGCGTACCGATTATACTGGAGCACCAACTAACGTTCATGACTTCAGACAACAACAAACCACAGTGAACAACAGTGGGAAATGTTGTTTTTTTAAACGGATGGATGGAATCGTCGATAAGAGCACGGTTGTGTGCAAATTATGCAAAAAGGAATTCGCATATCACCGCAGCACATCAAGCCTCAAGTATCACCTCAATGCAAAACATATAGCAGCTAGCGTGGAAGCTAGCGTGGACGTTAGCGTCTTTTATCGCGTTCACACCAAAAAGAGCCGGTACTAAAAGTAGTTCATGAGAACCTTTTTACCCCCACGAAAGTCCCTGCTAGAGAGCAGAGAGCTGCTAGAGAGCAGGGACTTTCGTACGGCTCTCTTGTGAGAAAAGAGCTATATTTCTGATTGGCTGGGCGGATTGCAAACCACGCCCCGTAAAACTCCCAAAAAGTTTTGTGAATTTTATTATCCTCGCATTAGCATTATTAGCATTAGCCCAGCGAAGAAACACAGAGAGACTAATTTATGGCAACACAAAATAAAACATGGGAGCGGTGGAGATGAGGAGGTGTCGGCGTTCTGGCGATTTACTCGGAAGGCTGCTGGGACTCCCAGCAGCTTCTACTGAAGCCAGTCCCCAACTCCGGGGACTTTGGGCGGCAGTATACGCCGTGAAGTGGTTTGCGGCCTGCCAGTAAACCCAAAGCAGAAGAAGAAGAAGAAGTGACGTCAGTGGCTTCATTTGCCTAATCCTCCCCCAAATTCAAAGAGTTCTCATGAACTAAATTCTCATGAACCTTTGTGGGAAAAGTACTGCGGTGTGAATGCGCCTAATGGTATACTAAAATCCATGTGAAAAAAATTGTTCTCACTGTTCTTAGGTCAAATATTTATATGTGATTAAAAATGCGATTAATTTCGATTAATTAATTACAAAGCCTCTAATTAATTAGATTAATTTTTTTAATCGAGTCCCGGCCCTAGATATTACTAAAATTAAATTGGAAATGCGTCACGAAGTGCATCACAGCATGTGTCACACTGCCGACGCGTGTGTGTGTGTTACCAGGTGAGTTACCATAGTAATCTTTCTCTCACTTCCTGGCCCTTTTGATTTTCTGTGTATGAGTTGCCACAGAAACTGACGTATTCCTTTCCCTGTGGCTTCTGCACCATTATCCCTTTGTCTAAAATAGAACGACACCACATGCTGCAGAGCGCTGTGTGTCCAAGCGGCATTAATCACCTAACTGCGTGGGAGAAGTCATGAATCTTTCCAGTGTGACTTCTGTCATATGCAACAATTACAACACAACAAGTGCTGAAGACCATACTGAATGCAAGATTTACACTTCAATATACATAAGAAAAACAATTATACACTCTCACAAACAGTCCACAAATGTTAATATTACGATAAGCAGTATTTGATTCCACTGTACAGTATTTCATTTGACATTCTGTTTTATTTTATTATATTTTACATGTTTGTAGTTTAGCTATTCATTGTTATTATTTGATTTAGGCTATACAATTATCTTTATGATTGATTAATTTACTTGCATTACTGTGTCACTTATCACACCATTTTATTATTTTATTTCTTCTTGCACTATTCTATTTATATATATATTTATTTTTCTTCTTGTACTTTTTTAAATTTCTATTAGCAATATTTTTACTTTTTTCACGTCTCGAGTATCTAGTACTTTTGGAGGAGCCTGAGACTTTGATTTTGAATAGCAAATAAACACTATTAAACAGATTTTTTGCAAGCTGTTGTTTGCTTTGATAAACACTTAAATCACTCTTTGCATTTTTATCCCAGACGTGTTGTTTTTCTCTCCTCTCTGGAAAGCATATTCGTGATTTATCGCGGTTTATTTCTGCTAATGCTTAACTGCATTACGTGTAGCAAACTGCCCGTAAATACCATTTATTAAAGTTGTGATTATCTGATTGGATCTGCTGAGCCGTTCCAGCAAACAACATCTGTGGGGGGTGCGATGGCTCTAATAAATACAGAGGGAAACAGATGATGGCCGTTGTGTGAAGGCATAGCAACCAGCTCTATTTTGGAGACAAACATAAGGAGTTAAAGGATTGTGACAGGGGCTGCATGGCAGATTTGTCTCTATACAGGTTGTTCAAACAGTGTTACATCTCACTAAGCGTGCACGTCACACTGAGAGCCGCGGTAATGAATGTTTTGCTTCCAGAGGTATTTAGTGTTACAGTACAGTTTGTGAGATGAGCGGTCTGAGCGGTGAATGAATGAACGGATGGCTTTTAAATGGGTTGTTGGCGTGATCTCATTAACTTCATTGGGTTAAACGATAATGACATCCACCTGTGCTTTGTAGCTTATTACCTCCAGTGATAGCAACGAGCTAATTAGCATTTAGACACAGCTGAGAGTGAGGAAACCACCACTTGAATAGATGACTGTTTGTGACTGGATGTGTTTTCTTACTGGGGAGGATGAGAAAAAACATGAAGCTTTACTCTTCAGGAGTAACCATGACGTCAGAATCAATCATTTAAAAAATGAACGTTATAATTTGCTGCTGATTTCAATGTAAAACTACTAAATTGAAACATGCAACAGCAACATGATTGGCCACAGGGAAATCTGAATTACAGCCAACAAAACACCACAAAACATAATCTAATATGACATTTTGTGAGGAATATATCACAAGATAACGAGATATGTTTGAGATATGGTGTCTTTTAGATGGCTTTCAAAGGTTCAACTTGCGGGTTGGTTTTGGAACGTCTCGATTAGTACATTTGAATGCAGGTCCCGCAGGCCTTCAGCTCATTGTAGCAAGAGTTCAGCAGTGATGCCAGGATTTAGTCTGGCCCCTTCGCTCTCCTGTCAGCATTCCTCGGGTTGACGCTCAGAGAAGTGAAGCTCATCCATCCCCTTCAGAGATCCTGCTGGGAAGAACCAGCTCGACCGAGGAGAGGCCTCTTATTTAGCTTTACCAACGGTTTCTCTTTTCTTTTGCTGTGTGTGTGTGTGTGTGTGTGTGTGTGTGTACAGGCATGTGTGTGCGCCCCCTCAAGCTGTGTGTGAGGTCAAGCGTCAGGGAAAAGGGTTTCCTCAGCCAGCGATAAGGAATGGCATACACACAAACAGCTGGACGTAGTGCTCTATTCAAAAAGGGCAAATCACGTTTCACTGGACTCGTGACACACACACATACACTCACACACTCACACACACACACACACTCAGGTGGCTCTCCAGGTTGCCCGTGTTCACATCTTGTTTTCTTCCCAAGGCTGAATGATGGCTCTGTTGCTTCAGTGCATCGACATAGGGTCAAGAGAGTTGAGGGCGGGAGGAATGACTTCAAGAGAAATTCGATGACGTAGCATCCTTGAAATAGTGGCTCTGGAGGAGCCTTCCTCGACATTGAGAAACACCCAAAGTCTTCACTGTGTCAGACAGACCCGTTTAGAATAAACATTACTCAAGTGGCAGCATGATGAAATTCAATTTTTTTCTAACTGATGTGAAGAGCATATAAACACAGACACATTAGACCACACTTGTAAGCCCTCTGTCTGGATAAGGCATTAGATAAATTGTCTCCTCTCCCTCCCTCCCTCCCTCCCCCCTATTTCTTAACCTCTCCCTCTTCCTGACCTCTCCTCTCCGTAGACGCAGAGGAATGCATAACCAGAGATTCAGATGACTCAAATGTTCATCAAAGCCAAAGCGCTCAGTTTTTTTATTTTTTTTTTACAGCAATTCATTGCAATTCCCTTCAATTCAGTTCCACCTTGATCACAGATTAAGGCAAAGCTGCAAAGTAAACCTGTCTGCAGCTGAAAAACAAGTGCTGTGACTCAGACTGCTTTCTATAGGCTCTGGGCCCATGTGCTATGCATTCTTAACGCTGGTTCACGTGTGTGGAAAGCATATTGCAATGCCATCAGTGCACGGCCACTTCATGTCCTCACGTGCTCCTTTTCCCCTCTGCACACACTGTCCCTGTCAATCTGTTTGTGTAGGCTACTTTCATTTAAAGCATTCTCGTCTTGCACTCGTGGCATATTGTAGACTTTTATATTTTTTTCCACTGTTATTGTTGGTTTTCCTACATGATTTCTAAAAGGATCTACTCCCAAGCTCATCATCTATGAGAAACACATAAAACAAGTTAATTGAAAACGTTTTAAAAGAATGCAAAGGCCAGAGGTTAAGTCAGTTTCACATGCATCAAGCTCAGGGAACCTTCATCTAAGATGGAAGAAAAACAACATCTACTTTTGAATTATTCCACTAACTATTCTGTTCCTCCCCAGGGTGACTTCACCTGGAGCAGCCTGTCGGGGCGGAGCGTGCGCCTGGCACCGGTTTCCATCCAGAGCCTGTCGGAGCTGGAGAGGGCAAAGCTGCAGGAAGTAGCCTACACCCGTTTACACCAGGACTATGACCTGGGATGCCAGATAACCATGCCAAAAGGTGGGAGCATGTGTGTGTTTTTCACATATGTTGCAGGCCAGAGTCAAACAGTTTCATAATCTGTACGTCTGTTAGTTCCGAATGGGTGGGATTTACTGCTTCAACATACCTTAGATAGCATCGTTATTCAAGACCCTGACGTTTATGTTAACTGTGACAGAACACATATGCGAGCGAACTCCGGAACTGTTGCAAACGCTCTCCATTTAATATTCTTGACCCGGGTTTGGGGTGTAAAGATTAAGCAGACACTTTCAACAGCCCCATAAAGTAGGAGCCTCTGACCACATCTTCCTCAAGTGTGTTTAAGGGAAGTCATCTATGCTCTGTGTTTGGGGAAGTTGTGACAACACATGAATCTCGATGTAAACCGAACGTCACATTGGGATCGGGGGCTTCCTGTTTGACCCCCCTCCAAGTAACGACACGCGACTCCCTTGCCGCTGAGTGCAGTCACCCCGCTCCAGCATGTAAAGCCTATTGAAATGTCCTAAATGTTGCTAAACAGGCTCTATTTATCTTTGTGGCTCCATCTTAAAGCCAAACAACTATATTTGGGGTTTGTAAACCAAGCCATTATTTGAAAAAGGGTTTGGAAAATGACAAAATTGGACACATTAATCCAGAAATAGCAGAAATGGGCAGAGCGCTGCAGAGACGGTGGTTTTCCAACTGGGCACGCCTATGCTAAAAATGTCTATGAATCAGAGTTTATACAAAAAGGAAAAGGAAATATACATAATTCCACTCAATTTAAAACAAATGCGTGGGCAAGAACCTTCATAATCCTGTTATCAGTATGAATAATGCACCACATTTTTTTAAAGCAGGATTTATATTAAACAAATTTTAATTGGCACAAGATCTCAAAATCAAACATAAATTAAGTAGTAAGTAGCATTCCCTGCACTATAGGAGTGCAGTGAGCGCCATAGCAGCGGTACGGCGGATTATCCAGGGCCTGCATTCCAGCTGAAGGTTAAACCTCTCCCCACCATGATTTAAAAAGTACTTGTCTGCGTTGCTTATGAATTCCAGAGCCCCTAACGGCCGCCATGTGCTAGTTGGAGAAATATTTCAACATGTGTGTAAGACTTGTGCGTGGGTTCACTAATGTGGGCTTCTTCAGCCCCGCTGTTTCGCATATTCATCTGAGACCAGGGGTCGGGTTTCTAAGTGTTCTTCAAGATCGAAAAACAGATTAGGGAGAGATAAAACTGAGGGATACAAAGAAGGATGGGTTGAGGGTTTGATGAGATGAGAAAGAAGCAAAGGTTCCTCACACACTTTCACAACTGGTGGGGAGTTGAAGTAGGGAGGTTTGGAGGTTCGGGGGATTTCCGTACGGCTTTGGGAGCCATCTGTCAAAAATCCAAACCATTTCCTACCCCTGCTTCTCCCCACCCTCACTCTCCATCACAACATCTGCTTTCCCTCTCCCATCGCACACCCCTTCCTCACTGCTCCCCACATATTTCTCTCTCTAAAATGTCTCTTCTTGTGCTTCTGACTCCAACCTGCGGTTTTTTTATTTGCAGCTTTAAAAGGACCTGACGTTTCTCGTATATCACTAAAGTGGCCATAAATCGATTCTCGAACAACAGCAGGGATGTTGTTACACACGATTGGGGAAACTGAACCTGCTGCCTGACGCAACCCGTGTTGTTGGGGCTGGATGCATTTTTCTGAATCCCCCCAGTGTCTCATTTGATACAGCTGAAAGGGAACATCTCGGGGTTCAAACTGGGGTTGCTAAACCAGCGCATCAAAGCAAAGAACGATGTGTAAAAGGGATTCGGGTACTTCAATAAACCAGCTACTTTAAAAGCAGCTGAGGTTTCACAAACTGACATCCTTGAGACTTTAAGGTTACCACGGTCTCTAGATTTCCTTCGTCATTAATCAGAAACTTCTGGAGTCATTTGTCATGTTGACAGCTGACAGACGGCTTTCCTCCTTTGGAGCCATAAACGTGGATGTTGACGTAGACAAAAAAACGTACCACATATTTGGGAGTGTAGATACACAATAGTAGCCCTTTTAATATGTTTTTCTGCTGGCTAAACCTGTCTGATGTTTCAGTGCAGCTATCCCCCGTGGTTAATTTACGTCTGCATTCCTGACATAAACTTATCAGATATAATAAGAGGGATAAGATTCAGCAGATATGGAAACCATTTGTTACACATGATTTATCTTCCTGGTTTTTTCCCTCCAGATGGACAGAAGAGGAAAAAGTCGCTGAGGAGGAAGTTGGATTCGCTTGCAAAAGAAAAGACCAAAGACAAAGGTACGCCAAGTCATTTGAACACACACTCTCTTCTCTCAGTGTGTGTTTGTCACAGCCAGTGGCCTCCGCCCCTCAGGCAGGTGAACAGCGAGGTTATCAAAACACTTTCTGTTTACCGTGCTTTGACAGTTTATATTTAGCTTAAGTGCAGGGACTCCTTGTAAGGGGCCTGGCTCTGAGAAGCAGCCACTCTTCTGCACTAAGCAAAGCATATTTGGCAGAAACAGAATCTTAGTCAAAGAAGCCCAGTTGCAGAAAGGAGCAGGAAGGCGAAATGAATCAGGCTTTTCTTAACACATTTGTGGTCTCGTTTGCAAAATAAATCACAAGGAAAGGTCAAAAATAAGCAGATTTTAGCTTAGCCTGCAGTGTTTTTGCATTACTGAGTTCTAGAAGAAAGTACACATTATTTATGTTACATAGAATCAGTAGTTTAAGGCAATAAACAAAAGCACTCACGCATTCACCCGCAAGTATTATCCAGAAAACTAAAGACTGGTGTGTTATTCATCATAATCAGAAATAGTAAAAGCATTGTTGATTCATATTTTGGAGCAATACATGAGGCTTTTTTCTGTGTTATCTTGGATCAAGCATTATTTCCTGCTCTAATAGAAGGCTGAGAAAACAGCTGTGGAGTTTCATATTGGAATGATGACGAGGCTGCTGCAGAATGTCGCAGCTGTGTTGTCTGAGAAGAAAATGTCTGATTATCTTGAGGCAAACAATCAGTGTTATTCCCAGAAAAACATTCATTGTAGGACTTTGAGTACTACAAGGAATGTTTCACTTATTTCAGGGTGAAGCTCTGGCTCTAGTTGAGTTTTTACCAACACTACTTGCCTGGCTCCAGAGCAGATGGCCCAGATGTATCTGTGGTCCAACCTGCCAAATGGATTTGAAATTAAAATGTCTCCCAAGGTCCGGAGTACCAGCCCTGCTTTTCACTTTGAAGCAGGCTAATTTCTCTGCAAGAGAGAATAAAGCAGATTGCCGGCTCTTTTGATGCAGCCACGGTAATCTGAGCTCATGTGACCAGACCTCAGTTATTGCAAATAAGGTTGAATAAATAATCTGCATTGAGTCCTTTATGGGTACATTTATCTCACTTAGAAGCAATTGCCCTATGACCCTATTCCGTTTTTGGTGGTTTTCCCTCTCCTGTAGTTTGTTATATATGAAAATTAGAATAATAGGGGACCCTTTAAGATTTACAAATGGAAAACTCATCATATCCCACTTTATGAATGGTAAAAACATGTGACGTAATTTATAACTTTCTGGACTTTCGCCATAGACTTAAACACATCCAGTTATTATGAACACATGGACATGAATAAGAAATAATCGTAAAAAAACTGATGCTGTAGGCCTGGAAAATGTAGATTTATGAACATCTGACATGTGGTCTGGCTGTGTTTGCACTGTATAGTATGCAACCCAGATTGTGTATGTGTGCATGTATGTGTGCATGTGTGTGTGTGTGTGTGAATGTGTGTGTGTGTGTTATATAAGCTTTGCTAACACTGTGAGGCTGCAGAGCAAATTGGTTGTGTCACAGTGTTAGTGGTCATGTTGTTCCTGAACACAGCCCTCCACTTGTGGAATGCATTTTGCTTTCGCTACCTCTGTTTTCATGTTGCCGCTTTTCCACACACACACCACACACACACACACACACACACACACACACACACACACACACACACACACACACACACACACACACACACACACACACACACACACACACACACACACACTCACTCACACACACACACACACACACACACACACACACACACACACACACACACACACACACACACACACACACACACACACACACACACACACACACACACACACACACACACACACACAGGACTGTGTTTCTCAGCTGTTGGCTTTGGGATTCTGTATAATGAAATATATAGCCTGTGATGGCCCAGTATGACATCATTCCTCCCATGCATCCCTCACAGCAGTACACACATTTGCACGAGTCCAAAGTTAATTGCTATGGTTTTGCTTCACCAGATTTTGTATATAAACTCTCACTCAGTTTAGAATACATCTGTTATCACTTCTTTCCGTAACAAACTAGAACAAAGATGGAGTTGGTTGATGCATATGTGTCAGTGCTGTGAAGCTTGTGGGTTAGAGTAATCAACGTTGCGTTATTTTGGTCAAAGCAATTTAGTGGTCTGTCACAACCAGATGTGTTTTGCTTTCCTCCTGTGACGCCTTATTTTGCAAAACAGATGTAGTGCGATAGTGATACAAGAGTTTTAACTGACATAGTAAAAGTGTGGGGGGGGTTTTATCTCATGTAAGAGTGTTTGATGTTACAACTTCACAGAGTCTACGAGCTATTTTTGGAAGTTGATTCTTCTTCTTGCAGTCAACTAGTAAAATAATCTTGCCCTTCCTTCTCTCTTTCCTCCACCTCCCTTTTCTTTTCCCAGAATGCCTACCCCAGGCCTTCAATATAGTGCTATCCCAAGTCATTGCTAATGACAGAACGCAGAGGCAGCGCCAGGACGGCTATCGTCAGGACCATCAACATCGCGGGGACCACAAGGACTCCTCTGACCTCGTCTCGTCCATTTTACAGGTCCTAATTGAGGCAATTTAAGGACAAATGTAACCTTATTGAACCATAAATAATAAGACACATTTTCCCATTGAAAAGGAAAAACCAATTTAATTCTTGTATGATCTCTCCTGCAGTTTGCCACCAAGCGGTCGTCCAATAAGGAGTTATCCAGCAGTAACTCGTCTTTGAGTTCTACATCGGAAACAGCCAATGAGTCAACGTCCCCCAACACGCCTGAGGCTCCACCACGAGCACGCAGGAGGGTGAGACAGAATAAGAGAATTAATTAATCCCAACAGATGTTTTTGTTTTATGAACCTGTCAGAATTCAATTCACAATTATCCTCCAGGGAGCCATGTCAGTGGACTCGATCACGGACCTGGACGACAACCAGTCCCGGCTGCTCGAGGCCCTGCAGCTGTCTCTGCCGGCAGACACGCCGAGCAAGAAGGAGAAGCACCGGGACAAAAGGCTGAGCCTGAATCCCATCTACCGGCAGGTTCCCCGGGTGGTGGACAGCTGCTGTCAGCACATCGAGAAATACGGTGAGTGTCTACTTCACCCTGTCCCAAACATATCTGCTATTGTTCTGCAGCAGGTGCTAGAGACAGCCAGTGTTTTCCTCCTCCTCTCAGGTCTGCAGACGGTGGGGATCTTTCGCGTGGGAAGCTCCAAGAAGAGAGTTCGACAGGTGAGTGTTCTCAATTGTTTACAGACACTCAAAATCTCCCAGAGGAGTTCAATTGGGTTGGGTTCCTGGCAATGACTCAAAGGCTTATTTTGTAGATAGTAAAAGTGATGAGACATGAGAATCAGCACCCGCATTTGCCACCATTGTCAGCCTACTGTGAAACAGGTACATTTGTCAGTATGCTATGCAAAGAAAACAACCCCTATATGTATATCATGGTCGTCTATAGACTAATTATCTGGAAGTCAGCCAAAGGGCACATCGTAGAGATTAAGCTGCAAACTGGTAAAACTAGTCAACTGGAGAAACCAACAGGAAGGGAGAGTGTGTGTAGAATATAGCATCCTTAATATGTTGAGGGAGTTCCTGAGTTCTCTGTTGTGTCCCACTTTCAGCTTCGTGAGGAGTTTGATCACGCAATTGATGTGCAGCTGGACGAGGACCAGAGCGTTCACGATGTGGCTGCTCTACTGAAGGAGTTCCTCAGGGACATGCCCGACCCTCTTCTCACCAAGGAGCTCTACACGGCCTTCATTAACACCACATGTAAGCTTCTGTTCCTTCCTTCGGTTTCTCTTTCCCAGATTCTACCTCTTTAACCCAATCTCTCCTAATCTGTGTTGCAGTGCTGGATTCAGATGAGCAGCACAATGTCACTCAGCTACTCATCTACCTGCTCCCAGCATGCAACAGTGACACTCTCCACCGCCTCCTGGATTTTCTGTACACCGTGACCGACCACGCTCATGATCGGCTGGACAAAGACGGACAGGAGGTGAGCGAATGATATGACCAGGAAGAAATGATGTCCAAAACACTCACAATTTGGCGTGCAAACACGTGCATGTGGGCAGCGTACTACCGTTGTGTTTCCGCCTCATTGGGAGGAAATTCCCAAAGACGTGATAGCATCAGTTAGTGTGGCTGGTCTGTACACATATCCCTTCATGCCTGTTGAGCATGCGACAAGCGTTCTGTATTCAACTTTAAGGCAGTAGTGCAAATGTCAAGAAAGTCATAAAGTGTTTGTGGCTCCCGAGGGATTAATGTCACAAAAAATAAACTGTTGGTTTGGAAAGAGGAAGTGACATCATGATCTGTGATGATTTAATATTCCACTTCCAGCTCCACGCTCCCTTTAGCTTTTATAATTCCTAAAATATGAATTCATGCATATGTGTGTGTCAGGAGAGAATCTGTGAGGCTATGAATCCCACCACTTCGTGCAATCGAGTGTGTGTGAGAAGCAGAGAGTGTGTTTTGGCAGATGGATCTGTGTTTTGTCGTCTCAAGCAACGATGTGTGTGTTTTACGCTCACCCGGGAAAAGAAACATGAATACTTTGGCTCCAATCTCTCCTTTGGGATTGGGAGTGGAAAGGGAGGAAACTGGGAAAAAATCAAAAATAAGAATTTCTGTCTGAAAAAAAAGAGACTTCAAGTCTTGAAGGGCTTGTAACTTAAGATAGTAATTGTTTAACAGGATGTACACCATTACCCAACCCTGGTAGAAACAGATTCAGCTGTCACACACTCTGACACCTTCAGTGTTAGCAAACCCCATGTGCCGTTATCCATCTTTTGGAAGTGACAGAAACAGGGGAGGTGTGACAAGGCAGAGTACACTGCAGGTGAGAAACACCAAAGGATGCGGTAGGTGGGAACATGAGGAGAGAAGAAGAGACGGGAGGAACGAGATGAAACGTCTCCAACAGTGTGATGTCACTCTGTAGTTCTTTACACCTCCACAGAGCTACTTGCTACTAGACTCTCAGTGTCATTAACTGATTGTCAGGTGTGCTTCTCTCACTGTGCAGTCACCTGTCATGTCACTTCATTCTTTGTATCATTGTTCATGTATCCACAAATGTCCATCAACATGTGTGAATTACCCCTATACAGTCTTTTCAAACCAAAATAAGTCAGCATTTTGGGTTAAAATATCGACAAAAGTGGCATTATTTAGGTATGGAAGGAACATCTATCAATTCTGATTCCACACAGGACACAAGCATCGGTCTCCGGCTCTATATGAGGAAGAGTGTCAAAGTTCACGGTGCAATGTTATGACATAATCCAATCCTACAACCTTTGTAAGGGACAATCAATCCTGTGTTACAATGATCTGGCATTAACATTGCTGCACTTTTGTATGTTTCTCCAAATTCAGATCACAGGGAACAAGATGACGTCTCTGAACCTGGCCACCATCTTTGGCCCCAACCTGCTCCACAAGCAGAAGAACTCGGACAAAGAGTTCAGTGTTCAGAGCTCCGCCCGCGCCGAGGAGAGCACGGCCGTCATCGCCGCGCTGCAGAGGATGATCGCCAGCTACCAGACCCTCTTCATGGTCAGTCAAACAATAACCCTCACTTCCTCCTCTGCTAAACACACACACTCACTCAGGCACAGTTTCTCTTTGCAGGCTTAGAGGAAGACAATCCCCCCTGGCTTAGCAGACAATGGTAGTGTCTTAGTTACTTTAAACAAATATTTGGACAGTTTAATGGAGAGAAAGAAGAGAGTCAATAAAGGAAGTGAGAAAGGAATATTTGAGAGATGGATGATGAGTCAAAAATCATCCCTGAAACACAAAGATAAACTCTTGCCAGCCGAGAATAACACCATTTCGCATGGTTTACCGCCTCATCACCTGCTTTGATTCTCAGACACCGCAGACAGGCGGTTCAGGTCACATGAGGTCCGAAACCTAAAACCGTGATGTTTTGTAACCCTGCCATTGTGTTTCCCCCGAGGCTAACATTCCTGCAGTAAACCATTGTAGAGCTATTAACACATATAGTGAGTCACTTTCTCAGTCTTGAGTAAAAACAGATTTGTAAACAACCCAAGTTCTAAAAATAACACTTTGGAAGTTTTTTCGTATCCATCTTATGTCTTCATTTTAAAGCATTTAAGGGTAAATACTAAGTAGACAGTTTGGGAAGTGTTCTCATACGGCATGAGCAAAACATTCCCTGGAAATGAAGGCTACAATGCAACAGAGATTTAAGTTTGAAGCGATTGGATTTCTATTTTTGCACATGAAAAAGTAATGAAGTAACCCAAGTGTAATTGTAAAGTTGTTTAAAGCAGCTTAACTGTGTAGGTTTGATCCAAAACATGCATAGAAGTAGAAGAAACAGCAACTCAACTATGTCACTCATTTCTGTACAGGTGCCTCCTGATCTGCAAAATGAGGTGTTGATGAATCTGCTGGAGACAGATCCAGATGTGGTGGACTACCTTCTGAGAAGAAAAGCATCGCAGTGAGTTCCACACGAGCCGTTTCCCTCGCTTCCTGATTTTGCCCATTTCATCCTCATTTGTGTCTGTTTTGAACCCCAGGAGCCCCGACCTGCTGCAGTCAGACGACCCCTTCACTCTGAGCGAGCGCCATTCCTCCAGCGACTCCAACAAGGTGTCCAGCGGCGAGGTGTCCCCATACGACAACAACTCCCCCATCCTGAGTGAGCGGAGAGGAGAGCAGGGCAGCCCGGGCAGCGAGCCGCTCTTCCGTGTCCCAGAGCAGTTCAGTGTGGGGGGGCAGGTGGCCGGCTGGAGCAGAGAGTCTGGGGCCGACACTTGGGGAAGCAAAGGTAACTATAGAGTGATGGATAATCGGATTTTCATATACCAAATATACTCCTCTCAAAGGCTTTGGTGGGCATACATTAGAAATATTACGAAGCAAGCGGTTCTTACTCAAAAGTAATTTGACCTCTCTTTTGCTTCTCTCAGACGCTATATCAGAGGAGCATGCAAATATTTGGGGGACTTGGCACACTACGATGAAACCAGCACTCAAAGAACACGCATACACAGGTAAACCGTTTGCAGCCAGTCCAGTTTCTGTAGTGGTTAATGAACCAGAAAGCACCTGGCACATGCTTCTGGGTATTTACTATCAGGGAGGAACCAAAGGCTGCAGGGCATTTCAAATCAAGAGGCGAGTGACGAACGATCAAAATGTTCCTTCACTCAGCACAAACACATAAATATCCTTCCATTCAAGATAGGGGGCGGAAAATAAAAGCATATACCTCTACATGTTTTGTGTAGTAATATCCCTTATTATTCATTAACTATGATTATTCCACTGATAGTTGATGTTCTATTCCTAGGTTCCCATGGCAACATGTCAGAGGGGAGTTCACGCAGCTCGCAGGAAGGTCTCGACGGGCTCCATGGCGATGGCAGGCAGCAGATGACGCTCCACCGGACAAAGACGGCGCCGGGTGTCGCCGAGTGCCCGAGATCCCACCCCCCCGTCACCAGAGTGTGCACCAGCCCTCACATGACGTCACACCTCTACAGCACGCATCGAGCGAGTGGACTCACCGCAACCCCCAGGCCTCACGGCGGGGGGAACTCTGCTGACGCTCCTGGGGGGCTGAACGACAGCCGCTCCCCCCCCCCTTACAACGCCCACCACCGACTGGCGGGCTCGCCTCCCGCTCCGACCCAGCAACCCCCCCTGCAGCACGGGAGGCTGACTGTGGCGCAGAGCGTGGCGCAGAGCGTGGCCCCGGACAGCCAGATGGGGCCGCAGAGCCCCGAGTGGCAGGACTGGCAGAGGGACCGCTGGCAGATCTGGCAGCTGCTGTCCTCGGACAACGCCGACGCTCTGCCCGAAACGCTGGTGTGACCTCACAGCGAGAACTCAACCCCTGCAGAGATCAAACCCCTCCAACGACAATCAATCCCTTTCTTCATTTCATCTTTCAGCCTGCCTTTATCCACTCATGGATCCATGGATTTCCTCCTTCCCATGAACCCTCTGTGCTTCTCCTGCATCCTAGCGCCACGGCGTTGTTGTTTACGTGTGCAGCTGCTGCCTTATACAGACTTCTACATCCAGAGAGCCATTAGTATTTCTTTTAAAAAATGGATGTTGCTTCTGTTCCTTGCCCAATATGCGTTGTCCATAATGACATGTTGAGAATGCCCACAAGAAATACCTCAAAAAACGATCCTTTCACCACGAACATACTTTCTATTTAGCGTGAGTCAAGTCTTCATATCTCAATGGAGAACAGTAGGAAAACACGTCTCTTTAGTTGGTTATATTTTCATTCTTTTATACATTTTTTTTCACCATACAGACACTAAGATGTACCCATTGATATTTGCTGCTAAATGTAAATTCCTTTGTGTGCATACTGGTATTGTAGTTTAGCCAAACCTGTCTAAAAATATCAAATGTTGAATTGCTTGATGTTTGATGTATATAGACAAACATAAACAATATATATGTAAATTTACATTTTATATATAGACATTTTATTCATTGGGATAAACCCCTTGAGATGCACCATCTCGTTTTCAAGGGGGTCCCGACAAGAGCAACAACTTACAGACATGCATAGACAAAATGCAAAACATGACACACAAGACAAACCACATACAGTCTGTTAAGTGAAATTCAAGCAATGCACACAATCATTACAATTTGAGACAGTCAAGCAACTCAGTTTCATCAATATCAGTTATAACAAGTACAGACCGGTTGAAAGTGAGATAACAATGCATGTTTAAACAAACCCAATGATGCAAGAGATCTAATAGCAGCAGGTAAAGTATTCCAGTCAGTTGGGGCTTTGAAAATGAACGCTCTTCTGCCAATCAATTTTTTTGCAGAGGGGACATAGTCTAACTTGATGAATTGGTGAGTAGGGTACTGCTTTAAATAAGGGGGATAGTTAAGATAAATGCATTTAAATATCAGCTGAAGCCAATGCGTGTGTCTTCTTACATTTAAAGAAGGCCATTTAAGTTGGTTATACATTGTGCAGTGATGTGTAAGAAAAGGACAACCAAGAACAAATCTGCATAGTCTGTTGTAGGCTATGTTGAGTGGAGCAAGATCTGATTTATGTGCATTTTGGTAGACAACATCACAATAGTCCATAATCGGAAGAATAAGTTGAGAAGCAATTCTCTTTCGGACACTGAGCGTAAAACAATTCCGTAATTGACTTTTTGTATTACATGCTTTATATGTAGTTTAAATGAAAGTTCAGAGTCTAGCCATACACCAAGATATTTAAAGCTATCAACTTCATGCAGAGAAGTGCCATCCTTACATGTTATTACTACATTAGGTTTGAATTTGAACTTGAGCCATTTTAAGTATATCATTTGCCAAACTACTAAGAGAAAGCCCTTTAAATGGCTAAATGTTGCAGTTTCTGTCTGTAATGTTGAATGTAGGATACTTTAACTGCTTAGCCTGATTATAAAGCACTCCGCTGTAAGTCTGCTTATTCGTCCTCTCGCCACTCGCTGCACGACAGGAACAATGTGCCAAACTCTTTTTACTTCAGTGTTCATTTCATCCATTTCAGAAAAAATACTCAAAGAGACTTAACAAGATAAAGAAAGATGAAGTAAAGTAGCCCATGTAATAAATATAGAAAGTGCTTTTTAATGGCCGTCATGTGCAAAGAAATACTATAATTTAATAGTATAAATAAGGGCTAGGTTAGGATGGGAGATCAGATAAAGCCAAATAAGACTCAAGTCAATTTTAGCCTTTAAAATCACACACGACAAAAGGTGTCTTAATTTGATGCATACAATCCTACATTGCAAATTCTGTTTAGTCTCCTAAGATTAACTCTAATGTATCATTCGGTGTTATCAGCTTAGTCTAAAATAAGAACTACGATCCAGAACTACATTCCCCAAGTAAAATATGAGATCATAACTTGATCCAGAAGCACCTCCACAATTTCTGACCACATCTTAGAACAACCAATACAGTATGATGATATCATTACAATAAATTCACATCCAAAACTAACCCAGGATATTAAACCTCTCATACTAGTTATTTATCTAGGAATCATTACAATCCACAGAGATTTAAGGACTCCAACTAAAGTGCCACAAAGATATATATTTGTAATTCTTATTCCAGGATTGTTGCTTATTCAGAAACACATTTTAAACACACCCACAATCCTGTCCAGATCCTCATAAATGTCAGTCAAGTGGGTATTTGCTGGCAAATATTTCACATTGTCATGGTGTAATATTTGCTATATGAACATTAAATCTAGAGATACATTATGTATAATTGGACTTATGTTACTTGTATGTGACTGAGTATTCAATGGGAGAAAGCCTCACAGTGCATAAGTGGAAGTACTGTGGTAAAGCTTATGGTGCCATCTATTGTCAGACCATGTGTATTAGCATTGCTGCTTCCCACAATTCAATGTTTCAATGGGATCCATCCCTGCTCAGTTTAGACTCAATATGCTTGTGATTATAAGCACCTTGTAAATGTGTAAATCCGTGTGAGGAAATAAACGTGCCATAGTCTTGCCTCTTGAAAGATATTTGTCCATGCAGTGCTCAAGGTTTGTATTTTGTGAATTTCTTTGTATTACTTTGTTCTTTTTCTGTTGAGTGTTGTAATATATAAATTCAATATAATACGATTTTTATTAAAGGAGAAAAAAAGACAAAAAAGGAGGGACTAATCCTAACTCTTTGTCTTGTTGACCTCACTAAGAGAAACTTAGTGGTCTTGTGTTTATTGTGGATATTTTCGGTGGGGTTTACTGGGTCCAAGTTGTAATGGAGTGTCTGGTAATTGCTTTTGTATCGCGTGTCATCATCAATATGCTACAATGAAATTAAATATGATAAAATGTACACCTGCTGTTGGAGTCGATACTTGGGAAAAATGTATTAACCTTTAAAAAAGAAGAGTGTCAGTTTGTAGTTTGATAAAGACTATACTATACTGTTTATAGATATGCAGCCACATACTGTAGTTATATTGCACACAACATTATTTCTTTCTCAGCCAAAGGCCACGAGCAAGATACGTTTAAAGAGCCACAAGAGTGCAGTAACTATCGATTAGTGGAGGTAAAGAGAAAATACACTTTGTACAGGGATAGTACTCAAGGTCAAGTATTTGGAAGTATTAACTTGTCACTTGATCACATTTGACAGAACGAGATAATTCAGCACATAGCGGTATGGCAAGTCTGGGAGCTTGAATCCTTCTTCATGTCAGACTGTTTTTAATTCAACCCATTCACAGAACACGTCCAGGCTTTCCTGGGAACGCCACTTTCCAGAAAATATGATAAAAGCACCAAAACATTTTGTGCTTTTTGTAGGAAAAATGTGTCACAGTCCAGCAGGGAAACTGTACAGTATCTGCCGAACAAGACCTCCTGTTGTGGTGGTCTGTATGTGGCTCTTAACCCAATAATTGTATGTGTTTTTGGCAGCTACATTCAGTATCTTTTTCATTCCTTTGGGCAACTATCCTTGATTAAATGTGTCTGGGGAAAACCTGGAACATTTTACAGTTCTTACATCTGAAATCTGTGCAGGACGTGTTGGCTGTAATGTGTTAACTATACCACTAGAGGTCAGACAAGAGCCTTGAATAACTGTTAGAAGCAGATACAATGTTTGAGATTGAGATCTGATAAAGAATCAATTACACAAAACTAGTTATAGAAGGTGTCAAATACAGGTACGTCTGTATTTGGAAAGACAACGGGATAAAAAAAAAAAAAGGATTAACTGGATTTCATGGCTTTTGGTTTCAATTCTCCTCAGCCCTGCCTGATAGCATATTAAATCACCTCACAGACCCCCAGAGAAGGGAAATTAGCTGCGAGGACACGTTGGAACAGGTAATGGATGCGTGTCTATCTGTCTGTGAGAGACAGACCTGGAGAAATAATGAAAATAAAGTCAATTTAAACAGTTTCTTACTGAGAGCTTATCTGAGTTTTTATTAACTGAAACTTTGGAAAGTAATTTTGTTCGATTTTGAAATCAGACACTTCTATTTGTTGCATTTTTATCTCTCCTTGTCAGCTACCCTTTACTCTGAGGAAATCAATCCTCCATTGTGTCCCTCACAACACCAATTAAATCTTCTGCCGTTTACTTTCTGTTGCTTGAAACGAGCATGTCTTGTTCTGCTCAAGGAATTCCATGATTAATTGTGATCAATGAAAGCAGAGATACTGTACTCCGGCTGCGCTTCTGCCTCTTTTCTCTTTCGTCCCCTTTTTGTCTGTTTTTTGGAAGGGAGCCTGAATTTAAATAGAATTTTGCGGACCATGACAACAAAACAAAGCCACTTTATTTCTGTGGCTAATGACTTGGCCCGCAGTAACGTTATCCAGTTGGCCGAGCTAAAAGACAATATGCCAGAAAAATACACACGCACAAATAGGTATGCATGAACTCATCCACAGAGAGACACTTGTAATTGCCAGTACAAGAGTTCAGCCCCACTCCTGGAGCCAGTGCGCATAAACAAAATGTGCATTTTATCACATTGTTTTTATGAGCAAAACAATTGGAGCACAACACGATTTTCTTACACCTACACATGCAGAAACACATGGTCACACACATCTTGAAAGGAATTCATACCCACAAGGTCCTCATTATAGGCACAGTGGATTTATTCTCACCATGTGTTCCTTCATGCAGCCCGAAAACTGGCCTGGAGATAGAAATGTGAGGGAACGTGAAGCACCGAGATATTAGCCCAAAGTCGACTACTTCCTGGTTAAACTGGAAGAATTATTTGCTGCCAGAAGAAGGAAGTCTTCAAAGCCACAACACGATGATCTAATGAGACAACATTTAAATGTCGCTTTTTCCAAAGTGCAGATGAGTCAAGCCGCCTTGGATGACAGCTGGTAAAGTTCCCAACTTGAAAAAAGATGAGAAAGTAATGATAAAAAAGGTTGGATTAACACGCCGTGTTGACAACGCTTTATTCTCCCCGCTGTTTGTTCATTCACGAGTGTGAGTGCTGTAGCCATGTGACAGGAGGACACTGTCCAACCAACCATGACATACTGATCTGCCCCAGGGACCATGCTGGATTTATGTACACACACACACACACACACACACACACACACACACACACACACACACACACACACACACACACACACACACACACACACACACACACACACACACACACACACACACACACACACACACACACACACACACACACACACACACACACACACACACACACACACACACACACACACACACACACACACACACACACACACACACACACACACACACACACACACACACACACACACACACACACACACACACATCACTTCAGGGGACATTACATTGACTTACATGCATTTCCTGGAGACTTATCCTAACCTTAACCATAACCAACACATGCCTAACCCTTACCCTAACCCTTACCCTAAACCTAACCAAGTCTTCCCCCCAAAATTAATGATTCCCCTCATGGGGACCTCCAATTTGTCCCCATAAGGGCGGCGAGTCCCCACACGCGACTGTGTAAACAGATTTAGGTCCCCACAAGTATAGTAATGCTAGACCACACACACACACACACACACACACACACACACACACACACACACACACACACACACTCCCATCATGCAGCTGATTAATTGGCCATTGATTCTGATTAAA